CGGCCTGGTTGGTTTTTTCGGTTCCTTTTCCCATGTTGGTTGATTTGCTCTTTCCTTTCGCATGGTTGGTTGATTTGCTCTTTCCTTTCGCATGGTTGGTTGATTTGCTCTTTCCTTTCGTCCCCTTTGTTGATTTCTAGTTGCACCAAACTTGGAACATAAGAGGAAGACACAAGTTTGCTATAATCCCAGTCATACGGAATTTCTCCAATGTTGACAGATTTGAAGTATCCATCTTCTCCATAGATGTAAGCCATTTGGTAGCGACATGTCTGGCTCATTTCATATATTTCCAAATCCAAAAATACAGCGATTTTCTTCTCCTCGTCAATGAAAAAGTTCCTAGCTCTATAGTGAATTTTAAAATTACCATCCGGTATACCTTTGATTAGTCTCATATCTAATGTCATAAACTTGCTCCAGGATACTGCATTGGGCTCAATCTTAGTCGTAATCCATATCTCTGTAATCTTATTCGAGTAGTCGTTGCTATATGCTACAGCGAGTTTCTCATCTCTAACCCACGATAAAATCCAATTATCGGTATTACAAGGGTAAGGTTGAAATGGCATAGACAGACGCGGTCCAAATCTCTCTCTTGTAAAATCAAAACAGATTAAATAATCTTTGAAATTTTTTACCTCTTCTCCCTCCATTGTTGCTATCTCTTGGTCACAGAAATAATCAAAAAAGTATGTATTTCCCTTGAGAGATACGCCGTGCTGATGCCACGGTACTTCCCAGTCGGAATTGACATCAATAAATCTCCAAGAGTTAGATCTAAAATCGTAGATATCAATGAGCAATTTGTATGGACCCCCTTCGTTGCTTTCATTAGCTCTATAAAGAACCCTCAAAAATTTGAAGTTATCGTTGTTGTTGTCGTATCCGAGAGCATACATGTCTGCTATAAAGTATTTGATTCTTCTGGGTTGAATCAATCTGGTTTGTCCCAAATATGGATTCCATACCACGAGCCTCGTGTTTTTATTGGTTACAGATAACAATAAGCCGTTGCAGTGAAAGACAGGAAATATCTCGTCGTGATTATTAGGTATACTTATTAGCCTCATAGATGAATCAACCAAGTCATCTTCTTCTTCTTCGTTGCGGATGCGTTTGAGATCGAATCTCAATGAGTAAACTCTATATATCATGCATGAACATGAATTCCAGAAACCGATTCTTCCTCGTTGCTGCTTTTTGACCTAAGGTATGATTTTTTGATAAATTGTTCCACGTTTTACAAGTCGATCGTACTAAGGTTAGACATGTCAATGGAACCCTAGAGAAAATCTCCCCAACCAAATCGCCTGGAAGATCAGAAACTTTCATCATCTTTCTTTCTTTTTTGCCAAAAAGCATCATCATTCTTCCAAAATTTTTTTCTCTCCGTACTTAGATATATGGAGCCAGAGGCTAAGAAGCACGGAATCGCCGTCGATGGGTGTTTACTGGCAGCGTCGCCGACAATGGTGGCCGTAACTTCTTATACAAGAAAAGATGAATGACTTAACTTAACTATTGGGCTTTTAAAGATTAATTTGTTTTGTGGCCCAACTTAATGCAATTTATTAACATACCCTAATTAGTAAAGAAACAAAAGAGATGGCTACATGATAATTGAAAAGTCTTTTTGCTATCGTCAGTTACTAATTTTTTTTTAGTCCGAAATCGTGAACTAGAAGATTAAAGGGAAATTAGGTTAAATAACCATAAAAAAAATTTATAACTAAAATTCTAACAAAATAATCTAGATCTAATGGTTGATGTTTTACTACATATAGTACTTTTGGCTATTTTTTAGTTTTAATTTTTTTTTTGGTTAGTTAGCAAATTGACCCAAGATTAAACAACGATAACTCCAAAAATCTTTCTGAATATTAATTTAATTGTAATTTTCTTTTGTGTTGTTCACTTGTTCGTCTTATTTCATGTTGTTCGTACTGTTTGTGTCAATTGCTTAATTGTTGTGCTCTACTTTCTTTTCAATGTATATATCGTACATATGAATCTATATCTATAAAGTAATCTTTTGTCATTTCTCCTTGCATCACTTCATCATCCACATCATATGCTTTTTTAAAAATTTCAAATTTAATAAACAATTTTTATTAATAAAAGGTTAATACACATATTAATTATACATTTTGTTCTAACAATATGAAAAGAATTTGAAAAGTCATTCTTCATATTCTAAATTAAATCTTAAAACTAAAAAATTATATAAATATAGTTCATTGAAATAATTATTTGTATCGCAAATTTAATAATAAAAAACTAAAATACAACATAGCTAACCCAAATATAACCCTCAAAACTAAACTTTAACACAACATAGTTAACCCAAACATCAATTAAATTAACCAATCAAAATATTTTAATTAATTTTATATGTCATGTTAGAAATCTCTACATATTTACATTAACTTTTAACATAAATTCACAAACACATATGTCTAATTGAAATCTAATTAAAATATAACATTTTTAAATTTTATATAACATAATATTTTAATGATTAATCATTTCTTTGCGTCAATTACTTTATAAAAATTATATTTATATCCATTTCGATACCCTCTAAGATTGATTATACAATTATTTTATTTTATATCGTTTAATTGTATCCATATTACTCTAATTAAAATTGTGTTTTACAAATCAAACATTAATGCTTGAATTTCGAAAATCAACATTTTCATTTTTTATTTTTATTTTTAGTTAAAAAATTTTACATACTAACGCGATACTTTTCTGGATTTGGTGAGCGAACCCATAATCTCAAACGTATTTGATTTACATTAAAAACGCTTATTTTCAATTTAAGTGTCATGCATGTTAAATTTTGTAACATAAAATATATATATAGGAGATATACTATTAGATCTTTGTTGATAAAAATTTCTCCCGTATATTATAAAAAATTTTGATTTTTTATTTTCAAATATTAATTCCGTATTTGACGCGGGACAAAAATCTAATAACCCAATAAAAATGAAATTCACATTGACGGAAGTTACTGAAATAATTTTATTTTTTTTGAAACTAGTTACTGAAATAATTGAAAGCTTTTAAAAAAAAAAACTCGCAGAAAAACGAAACATATAGAATCAAACCGGTGGGATTTCGAAATGCCAACCTAAATTGAAAATTTTCATTCTGTCAAGGCAAATCGTAACAGTAATGCATTGGCTTTGCCAAAGAAATGAAGTTTTATTTAAAGTCTCTAATCAGTAATCACTCTGGCATAGAATTATGGAATGTCTTCCACTAATCAGTAATCATTCTGTTGTTTTCTCCATCAAAAAGGGAGCATTGAGGACTGTTTTCCAGCGATAATGGGAGCTTCTAACGGAAGAGTATTGAAATACATAACTTGAATACTTTTCATTTTCAAATCATCGATTAAGGTATATTAACGCTTCAATCCT